ATATGATAGTATTAATTAGTAGTAGTAATAGTAGTAGTATAGCAGCAGTAATATGATAATAGTAGTTGCAGCAGGTATAGTAATAGTAGTAGTAGTAGTAGTGGTACTAATGGTAATAGTAGTAGTATTAGTAACAATAGTATTTAGTAACACTATTAATAATAATAGTAGCAATTATATTAATAGTAATAGTGTGATATAGCGACAGTACTAACAATGTTTGTTTGTTTGTTTTTTTTTTGTCTTTGGCATTTAAACGATAATAAATAATTTTACACTAATGGAACGATTATCATACACCAATTCTAAAATCTTATCACGTTTTACGTTATACGGACCATTAGCAGCGATAGTTCAATGTATGCTCATTATTATTTTTTTTTTTTTTTTTTTTTTTTTTGAAATCATTTTTTCACCTTTTTTTTTTATTTTACACACAATGCTTCGATCGTGAATGATTTTTCTTAATCTTTCTCCTATATTTTTATCATTATGATAATAATAATAATAATAATAATAAAATTATTATTATTATTATTATTATTGTTATTATTATTCGATACTGTTCAGTCCTTTAAAATGTACAGACACACACAATGGAAAATTTCTTCGCACGCATCATCCTACGTTTATTTTTGGTTTAACGAACGTTTATATGTATATAACAACGCATTCCTTTTACAACGTTATTACCAACGTTACTTCACGTTTGTCCATTTTTTCTTCTTTTGTTGTTGTTGTTGCTGTTGTTGTTGTTGCTACGATATAAAATCTTCGATCGCGATAATAATAAAGATAATATATGCGCGTAATTATATATTATTATTATTATTATTATTATTTATTATTATTATTATTATTATTATTATTATTATTATTATTATTATTATTATTATTATTAATATATTATTATTATTATTATTATTATTATTTTTATTATGTTATATACGACATACTCCTCCGCATATTCTCGCCGCCAAAGAGATGCCATAGTTTTGTCGATCGATACGCCTGCGTGATTCGGCGACTCGAACTTGAAACATTTCGCGGGACGCAAAGATATTAGGATACTAACGTGACATCTATTACGAGATTTAATGATCCATCATCTTTGATCGTACTTCATTTTTCGATTTTTCGATAGGTATGTGCCGATCGCGCGTCGAACGAACGTGTGCCGTGTAATTAATTATATCACGATAGTTTTATCTATAATCGCTTGTTGTTGTATTCTTCTTGGCCGCCGTTAATTATTCGTACACTTATCGATATATACATATACATATATATATATATATATATATATATATATATATATATATATATACGCGCTGACTGAGAGAATATGGGAGTTTAATGCGTACCGCATCAGTTTCAGCTGATTTTTCTTTCGAACGACGATAAGCCACGTTACATACGTTACGTTATGCTTCGTTGTTATCGGAAAAAAACACAAACAAGAAAATCGTCCTCCAAATAATTTTTCTTCGTCATCTTTGCACCGTCGAATCGTTCGCACCGAAAACATATTTTCTCGTCGACGAAGAAAAAAAAAAAAACAAAAAACAAAGAAAAAAAAGACAATAGAAAGTTCTTATCCTTTGTCCGAAACGCGAGATAAAAATGATTGTCTAGGATCGCAAATCAAGCGATCACGAGTCCCATCGATCGACAGTGCATGAATTTAACGTTGACTGTTTCAACGAGATAAAAATGTGAAAAGCTTCGCTCGATCATCTCGAAGACACGATCCCATTTTCTTTCTTTGCTTTTCTTTTCTTTTCTTTTCTTTTCTTTTCTATTTTTTTATATTTATATTTATATATATATATATATATATATATATAATTTTTTTTCTTTTATTTTCTTCTCCTTATTTTCCTCTTATTATTTCACAATTTATAATGAGACGCAGCAGAAAAGCTTCGCATTGTTGCTAAAATTTGAACGAGCGCGCGAAAATGATCCGGCTTGTTACGTTCAGCCGCATGAGACGAGAAAGAGAAATGATTAGAATTTGTCCTTCTAAAACTTGATTACATATTTACTTGAGTCCCGCGCCACGCGAACGTCCATTATTTACATATTTACTTGAGTATTTTTTTATCGGAACACTTCAATATTACTCGTTATTATGTTTTTCGCGTCGTTTGAACGATGAAATCACTCTGTCCTTCCGTACAGTTTTTCTATCAAGCGAGAAGGGTATTAATTTTCGACATAATTGTAAATTTTATTTTTCATCACTATCATATCCCATCAACATTCTATTGTTATTTAAAAATAAAAATATTATTCGATGAATTAAATATTATATGCGAATACGTATTACGTATAAGGATCATTCAATCGACTAGATCACGGATTTTCTCTAACAACCGGTATTCACATAGATCCGATTCATAACCTTTCAAAAGGGTCGACCATTCGTCCTAAAGTTCGACGCTTTAACGAGTTCAAGCAAATTCATTTGCGTACCGCGATCATCGTTCTCCTCGTTTCTATGTGCTGTCTGTTACTCAAGGAACTTTACGAGCTAAACTTTGGAGGATTCGATCGTTCGAAACTATCTACGCGAATGCTTATAGATCTTCTCGTTGGTTGTATTTTACGTTAGAATGCTTTGGATTATCTCGCGTGCGCCCGATTCGACAATAAATTTATTCTTCAATTTTACGCGTAACGTTATAATGCGAAAATTTATGAAGAAAAAGACAAAAAAAAAGCAGAGAAAGGAAAAAGGAAACGAAAAAGAAAAGAGAAAGAATTTTTCTTCTTTTTTTCCTTCCTTCGTGATATATGTCTTCCTTTCTTTCTTGCGTAAAATAAAAAAAAAAAAAAATTAAAAAAAAATAAAAAAAAGTGCGAAAGAATAAAAAGAAAAAAAAAAGAAAAAAGGAGAAAAAAAATTTTACGAAGTAACGCCGTTGATATACGCAAAATTCTAAACCGCTATCTCTCCTATATCCCATATGTTTCGACGTATTTCCAAAGCTCTCTATCTCTTTTTCTCGTATCATCCATCATGCTTTATGAACCGAATCATTCTACGACCTTTCGGACTTCCCGGCATGGCTTTTCGAAGTTTCTCTATAAATTGAATTTTCTCGTGGTAACCGAGGAAATCCAACGTGATTTCGTTTATTCACGAATCAGGAAACACGTCGATCTTTTCAAGTATACAATAATATACAGGGTATCTCTCATTATAATCGATCGACTGATCGTAAAATTCATCGATATTTCTTAATGTTATCTGTGAATATTTGAATGAAATAGTTTCAAGGCCATTGATCATCGATAGATAAGGAACACATACAAAATAGGGAAAGAAATACTTCAAACGAATCTTCGTTATCCTCAAGAATTTCGATGATATTCGTATAAGGATCGATTGAAAGAGGACACCCCGTACATATATATAGGATCTTATTTTTTCTCGTTTTTTTTCTTCGTCTAATCATATTCCCGTCTAAACGCAACCACGAAAAGATCCTCTTATCTCTTATCATTAAACGTTAACCCGCTCGTCTATTCGCGTTTATACGATCAAGTAACAAATTGCGTGGCGCTCGTTTACCACGCCGCAAGATGTTATAGAAGCCAAATAATAACCAGAACCAGTGAGTAATAAAAGGCAAAGCACGGAACGTAAACGTAAAGTGTTTTTACGAAGACGATGGGCGACTACCATGGCCTTGACTCATTCAAGATAAGATTTATCCGTTAGAAATAATAAGACGAAGGAGATGAAAATGAAGAAGAAGAAGAAGATGATGAAGAAAAAGATGAAGAAAAAGAAGAAGACGAAAATGATGATGATGATGATGGTGATGAAGAGGATGAAGAAGAAGAAGAAAAAAAAAGATATGAAAATCTTTTTATGTTCTTACCAAAACTGTCTTTTCTCTTCGACGTTCGAATGTATGCGAATTATCTCTTTGAAATCTTTTTCTCCAATTTTCCTTTCTTTTTTCTTTCTTTCTTTTTTCCTTCATTCCTTTCTTTTCATCCCTCTTTCTTTTTTCCTTCCTTCCTTATTTTCCTTTATTCCTCTGACCCTTCTCGCGTCACGAAATCCTCGAGAACAACTCGCGAGTTATCTGTACGGAAAGCAGGGGTGATGCGACTTGGCAGTTTTGTCCACACACATTTATATTCCATATCTACTTATCGACCAACCAACCAACCAATCCCCCATATTTTTTTACGACCTCAACCCTCCTCGATAATTCACGATCGATACGATCGACACGTCGGCGTTCTTGAGAAGTATTAAAAAATTTGAAAAAGTTTACGCAGAGATCCTTTCGTGAAATCTTTTTGCGATAACAAACTCATATCGTATGTATGTATACATATATATATATATATATATATATATATATATATATATGTACGTTGTTTATATACGCGTGTAGTTATAATACATATATAAGTAGAATTTTCTTATCTATTTTATCTCCGCTTTAAAAGAAACTTTCACGAATGATCTATACAATGAATAGATTTCTCAAGAACATCGAATCGTCGATTCATTTACTTATTTAATTATTTATTTATTTATTTTCTTTTTTTTTTCACTCACGTACGTTCGTTCATGCGTTCGTTCGTTCATTCTTTCGTTCTTTCGATCGTTCGCTCGCTCGCTCGCTCGCTCGTTCGCTCGTTCGTTCTTTCGCTCGCTCATTCGTTCGATCGATCGATCCATCTCGAAAAAAACGATATACATATATTGGTCACCCCTGACACGAGAGCTCCTCCATGTTTGGCAGTTGTTCGAAGATATTTAACGTTTATCTATGAGCTCGGTCGCGCAGGCGCGCGCGCGCGCACCGGCGTTATATATACACGTATGTGTGTGGGTGTATGTTTTGTGTATGTACGTATGTATGTATCTATGTATGTATGTAAGTATGTATGTATATATATATATATTGTTGGTATATATATATATATATATATATATATATATATATATATATATATATAGGGAAACATTAGAGAGCGAGAGCGCGCGCGCTAAGCGATTCGAATATAATAGTTTCCTTTTTAGCTATTTATACTATTTATTATTATTATCATTATTGACGCCGCCGTGAAAGGCCGGGTTTTTAACGACGTTCGTTCGTTCGAGGAATCGCGCGTATCGCGAAGAGTCTGAATATCATTTATTCCGATCTCTTTTCCAAAAGAGAGAGAGAGAGAGAGAGAGAGAGAGAGAAAGAAAGAGAGAGAGAGAGAAAGAGAGAGAGAAAGAGAGATAGATAGATAGAGAGAGAGAGAGAGAGAGAGAGAGAGAGAGAGAGAGAGAGGAAGAGAAAGCAAAGAAAAAAAGATGAACATTGTCGAAAATTTCATCATCGACTTGAATTGCCTTCCCTGTTTATTTTTATTTATTTATTTTTGTTCATTTTCTTTTTCATCCTTTTTTTGACTTTTTCTTGTTTTTCTGCTGTTTTCTTTTCTTTTTACTCTTTTATTTGGAACAGAAAAATGATCGATACGAAAGAAAAAAAGTGTTGGTAATCGTGGTAAATAGGGTTCTTCCTTTCTCTCTCTCTCTCTCTCTCTCTCTCTCTCTCTCGTTCTCTCTCTCACTTTTCCTCTCTATCTGTCTCTTTCTCTTGTCTCTTATCTCTTGTTAATCGACGAAACGAAAGGTACGACGAATAGGGCGAGATTGACGGCGTTGGTGAAATGGACGATGTTTAGTAGTCCAAAGGATTTTCGACGGATGTATTCCCTCTTAATGACGAAGCTCCGTTGTCAAAGAGCTCTTCGATGTTCAGGCTCGTTTTTTCTTCGATCGTTGTTGTATCCCCGTCCCTTTTTCGTCCTTTATCCCGGTATCTTCCTTTTTCTCATCCTTTCTCTTTCTCCATTATTTCTCTCTTTTTTTCTATCTCTCTCTCTCTCTCTCTCTCTCTTTCTCTTTCGTCAGTAGTAGTAGTAGTAGTAATAATAGTAGTGGTAGCAGTAGTAGTAACAGTAGTAGTAGTAGTAGTAGTACTAGTAGTAGTTGTAGTAGTGTAGTAGTAGTAGAGTGTCGGTCCCGCAAATCACGCGCGCGAACGTTGCTTCTGAGGAAGAGAGAAAGAAAAGGGGAAATGTGCGACAAGTATTTTTATTTTTTTCTTTCTAATCAATATATCCAATCATTTCGGATTCACGTTAAATTTGAAATATTATTTCATTATACGATAGTCATTAAGTTTAATGGAATGAATTAGTGTATACAAATATACAAAAAAAAAAGTATATATATATATATATATTTTGCATAAAGCACTATAAACAAAGATCTTATTTATCGATAATAAGAGTTCAAGAATTTCAATTATTATTTTTTTGTTTTTTTTTCTTTTCTTTTCTTTTCTTTTTTTTTTTGGTTCTTTCACGTTTAAGACACAAATTGACAGATATAAAATAGTAAAAGATATTCGAATGAAAAGGGACGATTGTTCTTACCAAATTCGAGGTGGCGCTATTTCAGCGACGATTTTTTGTGCATTATCTTCGGTGTCTCGACCGGGGCAGTCTATTAGTGGACGATTATGTGTGGCGCACTAGACAGTATTACGACCGTGGCCAGCACCGTGAATAACGTGAAGACGATCAGGCAGAGCCTTTATTTTAATAAACAATCGTATAAATAAATTATCATTATAATTTGTACGTATTATTTTATTTACGTTATAATAATAACGATGATAATAATAATAATAATAATAATAATAATAATAATAATAATAATAATAATAATAATAATATAGAAACCATACCTGTCGACCACCATGGCAGCAAATTTCCAATCGTTAATCACCTCGTCGTTTTCGTCGGCCTTTCTCATACGACTCGTGATAAACTGTAATTCTTTGAGAATCGTGTGAAGTTCTCTCTGCATACCGCTTAGCGGTAAAGACGCCGACGTTTCTTCGACCGTCGCCGGCCGTCCGGATAATGGCGTGCCGTACGCCGACCTGCTGTTAGAATGATAAAAAACAAAAAAAAAATATATTATATCATTAAAACGAATCTAATTGGATAATAGGAAATTTACGTTATCATTTTTTTAAATCTCCAACTTAAATACCTATCGTAAATATCTGCATATTTTTTTTTTCTTCATTCCTATTTTTTTTTTTTTTACTTTTATTAAATCGACGAATATCCGGGCTAATATCTGTAGGTTGATGTCTAAAAATATATACATATATATTAAAACGAAACTAATTCAAAGTCAGGATATTTTTCGTAATCATATTTCCCAAATCATCATCGTCCATATTATAAATATATTTTATTTTTTACTATTAAATCGATGAATATAGTATCGAGAGATTCGAAATATCTGAATCAAATAAGCGAACATTGTTTATTAGTGAGAACGGTATAATACCCGGTATTATCCTGGCTAATATCAACGTTCGCGCGAATAACCATGGCACATTTATTCGGATAAACATCCTACAAAACAATACTTCGAATCAGATATTTCTCGTTTAAAATGATATTACAACTACACGCAAATAAGTATATAATTTCTAGTAATAGCCCATAATGAACTAGTCTAATTTTTATTAGCAAATATCATTATCCTTCTCTAATCTAATCAATGTAATATGATTTGACAGTAATTATTCTTGTTATACAATAATCTGTTTCTTTCTTCGCAAACGATAGATAAATTCAACCTGAACAAGATTGTTATTTGACAAGCACATCGGATATTGAGTATTACATTGAAAGGCACGACTTAATACTAAATATGAATATGAAGGTAGAACGAAAAGCTGGCAGAGATAGAGATGAGAGTAGTATGGCGTGTGTGTATTTCTATGTAAGTCTGTGTGTGATAGTGAATTTACATAAAGCTTGAACTTTGTTCCAAATCGAGAGAAATTGATTCAAGTCTTGGATCTATAGGTGTGTGTATGTGTATGTGTGTGTGCATATATATATATATATATAAAGAGATGGCTTTAAAGTCTGCATGGCTATTGGTGGTATCTATTGTACGTATAAGCTTATTTGCAAAAGACATAGGATCGATACCTTATATAAGTGGAAGCTGGATTGGCAGCACTGTTTCCATGACGAAAATCATCGTCGATATCTAAAACGTTCGCCAGCAAGCTCTTACTGCTTCTCTCCTGCAACTCGAGTTCTTTCATCCGATTGCCCACAAGAAGACTCTTCTTCGTGATCTTCTTGCCAGGACGGCTCATGCATAATATGCATGGCAGCCACTGTAGGAACACCTTTCTGATCTGCGATAGATCGAATAATTTATAACGATTATCTATTTATCTTTGATTATATTTAATTTGTCTTTTCTTTTTTTTTTTTCTTTTATTTCTCTCGCAAGAAGGAACGTTCGACGTGACGAGATGTGATCTAGATGCGAGTATCGTGAAAATTCGAACGAATGAACGTAATGAAAAGAAAAATTAACGAACGAAGAAAAAAGAAAATTAAAAAGAAATGAAAAGAAGAGAGAGAGAGAGAGAGAGAGAGAGAGAGGGAAGAAGAAGAAGAGAGAAAGAGAGAGAGAAAGAGTGAACAAGAGTTGAAGAAAGATAAGAACGAAAGAGAAAAGTTTCTGTTGCTTTTTTTTTGCATCTTGCCTCCGAAGAACGTTTCTTCTTGGTTTATGAAAGTTCCAGTAACCGAGCGGCCAAGAGGGAGGATCAACGCCTCTAAGGCACTTTAAACTTTCAGAAACTAAAACACAGTCTTTTAATGGCGGTAATGGCCACTATGCCGTTTGTGCCGCGCATAAAACGTTTTATAAAGCAAAGCGTCGATGGAATCGTTTGTTTATGCTTCTTCTAGTATACCACTCGAAGTCCGGTTAAAAGTTTTTACGCGAGAACGAGAATGAAATGGTAGATAAAATTTACTCGAGCGTTTTGTATTAAGATATATGGATCGAGCGCATATATATCTTATTTATATATACCTATTTATGAATTTATATGTACAGTGTACATACATATATACATACATATATATATATATATATATGCATGTACGTATGTATATATTACATATGTATATATATCGAGCAACAATAGAATGGAACACGGTTTAACGTCCGACAACGGAAGCAATTAATTTGATAATGAATTCTTACCCAATTAGGCATGACGTATCTGTCGGGCGTTCTGTGATGATAATTTAGCACCATAACGGTCAAGACGACGCTGCTCGCCACCATGAACATGATGCAATTGAAGTACGACCCTGAATCGAGGAATTTCCGAAAATCCCCCGGAGAAAAGACAAGAGAACAGGCGATTAGTCACGGAAATGGTTGGATTATCCTTTTATAAACGGTGAATCTCCATGGTTCAATGATCGAAAAATCGTCGAATCATTTTACTCCCACGGACCATATTCTTTCTCTTTGTCTGTATTTTTTTTTTTATTTTATTTTTTCTAATTTTTTTTGTTCTCCTTTTCCTCCTCCTCCTTCTTTTCCTCCTCCTCCTTTTCCTCCTTCTCCTTCTTCTCCTCCTCTTTCTCGTCATCGTCAAACGACGAGATTCGACGATCTTTCGTTCGTTCTTATTACGCACGACGCGATATTCGGGCTTTCTCTCGTTATTCGTTGAAAAATTTTCTTCGAAGAAAATTTTTCTACTTTATAGGATATACGTGTGTACGAGTAGCGCAAGGGAAACTTTTTTTTGTACCCGGAGCGAAGCGCAAATTCGTAGACTCAACGAGAATAAGAATTCGTTTCAGATAGGAAATAGTTTTCGATACTGATCTTGTTTATTTATTTATTTTTTATTTTTCTTTTTGGTTTTGTTTTTCATGCAGGTAAGAGGAAGGAGGAAGAAAAGATAGAAAAAAAAAGAAGAAAGAGAGAGACAGAGAGAGAGAGAGAGAGAGAGAGAGAGAAAGAGAGAGAAAAAGAGAGAGAGAGAGAGAGAGAGAGAGAGATAAGGAGGGTCAGTAGAGTCCACGAATTTGTCTAACGCGTTGCTCGAACAGGAAAGACAGAGATAAATATATATATATATATGTATATATATATATATATATATATATGTATAGATATATAGAAAAAAAAGAGATGGAAAGAAAGAAATAGAGAGAGAGAGTGAGAGAGACAGATAAAAAGAAAGAAAAAAGAGAGATATAGATAGAGAGATAGAGATAGAGAGAAAGAGAGAGAGAGAGAGAGAGAAACGGATAAAAGAAGTACCGCTCTTTAACAATTTATAATGTTTCCTGAAATTCTCCTCCAAATTAACGAATCACACATCTCATGTTCACTCATCTACTCAGACACTCGTTTATATCATGTATCGTATGTATATGTTTTTGTGTGCATGAGTGTGTGCACATTTATATATATATTTACATATATATATATATATATATATGTGTGTGTGTGTATAGATACATGTACACAGACACACATACACACAGAGCGCACGCTTCGAAAAGTCTGATCTCGCATTATGGAAAATGATTCCTCGCGAAAAGTAGAAAACCCGTAGAAGGTGCGAAACAAAGAGAACAGTATTATAAGAGAGAGAAAGAAAGAGAGAGAGAGAGAGAGAGACAGAGAGAAAGAGAAAGAAAGAGAGAGAAAGAAAGAAAGATATATATATAGATAATTATATAGCCGAAGAGCGAAAGGAGGAGAAATGACAGTAAATGTCGAGCGTGTTTAGCGTCGATTTATAGCTAAATAAAGTGACGATAGCGGTGGTGAGAGCAGAGAATAGATTTGCGCTAATCGAACGATTGATATTAAAATATATATATATATAGAGAGAGAGAGAAAGAGAGAGAGAGATAGATAGAGAAAGAGAGAGAGAGAGAGAGAGAGAGAGTAAGAGAGAGAGAGAGAGAGAGAAAGAAATATAGAGGAGGAAAGATAGAGAGAAAGCTTCGTACTTACTTGTGCGTTACAGCGAGTGCGTGTCAAATAAATGGCGTTAACACAGAGAGACGAGTAATTAACAACAACGAAGACATTAGACAGCGATGAGCGAATTATTATACTTTACTTTTTTTTTTTTTCTTTTTCTATCCTTTCTCGTTTTCTTTTTTTGTACTGTTTTCTAAATCACATGCGAGATCATTAAAGGAAAAATAGCTGGCGACGATAAAAGCCAACCGAGAACGTAAAAACGGTACGAGATTTGGTAAAATGTTTGTGCCGGGGTTGATAACTTTTATGCGCTTGATTTCTTTCCTCCTCCCTTTTTTTCTTTTCTTTTTCTGTTTTTTTTTTTTGTTTCCTTTTAAACGATTAAATGGACCATAACGTATAGAAGAGGATACGTACTTAACAGTGAGAAAGGGAAAAAAAAAGGAAGTAATGCGTCCCGGAGTTGGACAAAATAAAATTGGGTAAGAGGGATTTGGGGTGGTTCGTACCGGTTTTACGCTCGGCAAGGGTCTCAGGCTCGTTCATAAATTTCATCGGACTTAATCACGACACACAAGCTATCGCTAGGATCTTAATGCGACATGCACTTAACGTCGTGATGCTTCTTCCCTCGCTAAATTCGTTCAGCGTTAGAAGCACGATTACCATGCCTGTAGGTTTTACGCATACATGGGTGTATGTATATTGCATGCTCATAGATAAAGTCAGTAAGCTTACGGTAAGTATCGTGCCATGCAAAAGATTATATGTATATATATATTTATATATATATATATATATATATATATATATATATGTAGGTATGTATATATGTATGTATAGTACAGACTATACAAACGTCTAGCGTGCAAGAAGATTTTTCTCGTTGCGAATGGTAGTATCGATGTCGCGATATTACGTGTTTCGCGTATCGCAGCTAAATTCCGGTATTCGCGATTTTAACTTGCCGCACGATCGACGCGCAACTTTTCCTTCCTACGATAGATGATAGACGGAGCTTCCATTAAGCTGCCTAGTATGAAAACACCGCATTAAGATGTTCGTTCTGAAGCGAGATTCGATATGACGATAAATAGAAAGAAGTCCAAAGTTTTACACTTCGATATATATCCTATGTATATATATATATGTACATAGGATATAAGTGTATATATATATATATATTTTGGAGAATAGTGTTCTCGCAATATTTTCCAGGATATAAATCGTATCCCAATTTTTAATATATATATAATATTTAATATATAAATATTTAATATACAATATTTAATATATAAATAATATTATATATATATATATATATCCTTTTGGTATTAAATGATAATATGTCGTAATAAAATTGTTTTGTTAAATAGTTTAAAGATCGAAAAAAAAGGAAAAATTGGTTGATTTCGATGAAAAATTATATGCATCGACTATATATATAGGTATGTGCCTGTGTATGTATATTAATGTGGATTCAACATTCGAGGAATAGAACGTTGTTCTCGATATTTCTATTTATCTCGAATAATATATGCATACGTTGTATGAATACATAACTAGGCGTATGCATCGATTATCCATTCGTTCTCCTACCGGTTGAAAGATCCTCTCCCTTCAACCCTCCCAACCATCCTCGCTCCTCCCCGTTCCCATCCCCTATCCTTTTCATAGTCTTTTTCGCTAAAGCTAGTCCCTTTGTGTTTTCTTCTCGTTCGAGATAAATTTTCAAAGTTGCGTCTCCTCTCACGGCTTATACGGTTAATCGTCCTTACGAACGAACAAAAGCTACGTCCGTTCGTTAATTGCGTTAACGTCAATTCAAAGTGTTCGCCAAGCATTTAAGAGTAACTAAACGTGCCGCGAGAAAGGGACTTTTATCGTATGACCAAGAGACCATTACGATTTTCGTCTAGACGAGAATTATTGCCATTAGTATTTATTCGTGAAATAATTATTTTGGACGAAAAAAATTTTAATCCTTTTTTTTTTTTTTAATTATCAGGTTGATTTTTATAGAAACGAATCTAGTTAGTCGAGATCGAACAACAACAGGATCGAGAAAACAGACAGAGAAATTTTTCTCGTGATTTCATTCGATATACTTTATATTTATTTCTTAAGAAATTTTTCATGAATTCAAGAAATTATGTTGGGTTAAGTATGCGATTTACATTCACGTACGTACACATTCACGCACGTACGCACGTGCACATATATACATATATATATATATATATATATATATATATATATATATATATACATAGACGCACGGACCAACAAACAATTTCAGTACGTCGACTACGCTTTCTTTGATTTTTCCCTCGTTACATTCACTTGAAGTAAACATCACCGATCATTGTGTTCGCATTTCGTAATTTTTTCTTTTTCCATATCTCCCGCGTAACAAAAAAAAAATATATATATATATGTATGTATATGTGTATACGTAAATTATACAGTATCTCTCTCTACAACGATTTTGCGTTTTTACGATATTATATATGTTATATTCCCTTGAACTTCAACGTAACGTTTTGAAAACCGCTATGTCTCGTTAAGATAAGTATCTTTGCATGTACGTATATACGCGAGTAGAAACGATCCAATGAAAAAGTCGATTCAGCATATTCACTTTCATTGTACCATTACGTTGAATCTTTTCACTGCAACTATAGGTATTATTACGCGTACGTGGTCATAAAAAATAATATCAACCATAATTCGAGTCGTCATTAAATCGATAAAATTTTACGACTTTGAAGGCCATTGAATCGCTCGTTCTTTATCAAATGCATTCACGTAACGTTAAAATTTCTTTTAATTATATATTTATACATACATATTTTTTCTTTGTTTTTCTTCTTTTTTTTTTTTTTTTTTAATTTGGAAATGTTCTTTTTTCTTTCTTTTTTCTTCTTTTTTTCTTCTTTTTTTTCTTTTTTTTTTTTTCATTCTCCGCACTCTCGCGTTAGGGGCGCGCGGAATTACGTGGAAAGTGATTATACCGTAGAAATTAGTGGGATGAGGGAAAGGGATGGTAATTACGTTGAAGCGCCGACAATAATTACTCATCTTGTGACGAACGGACTATGCATCCTTAACGAGCAATTAGGGTGCGCCTATCGAGAATTATTACCGAAGAACGTCGTTGGTTTATGTGTATGTGTATCTGTTTACGTACTATACGTTTAAAACAGTCTTCCAGATATTTTCATGTATGTAGAATATATATTCGATATCTTTTGCTCATAGTTTTATAGTTCGATCAATTTGCACGTTGTATATAACAATTAATTAAGATAAATAATTACGAATGATTTATCAAGGGACCTTATTCTTTGTT